AAAAGAAATTGACAAAACCCTAGAAGCGGTTCGCTTATTTCAATATGATTAAAAAAACCTCCAAATTTTGGAGGTTTTTTTTGAAATAATGGTTTATATGAATTGGTACTTATAGAGCAGCTACCGAAACCAACCAAGTGATTACAAACAATATTGTTGTTTCACCTATTAATTATCTAAATTCTGATAATGCTGGAGTTTGGGGATATGGATTCACTTCCTCTAATCCTAAAACTTTTGTAAATACAAGTACTGTATCTAAAGTTGTTTTACCTGCTGGAGCATGGGCTACAGTAGATGGAGTTAATCTATTATCTGCTCTATAAGTACCAATTCATATAAACCATTATTTCAAAAAAAACCTCCAAAATTTGGAGGTTTTTTTAATCATATTGAAATAAGCGAACCGCTTCTAGGGTTTTGTCAATTTCTTTTTCGGTGATGGTTGCAGAGATAAACCAAGTCTCGTAACCACTAGGTGGAAGATATACTCCGTTTTTTAATAAGTGATGAAAGAATTTATTAAACAAAGAATGGTTTGCCAATTGGGCTTCATCAAAATTAGAAACCGATTTTGCGTGAAAGAAAATACTCATCATGGAGCCTTTTCTGTTAATCCGATGAGGTATATTTTTTTCATTTAAAATTTTCCCGATTTCAAAATCTAATATTTCGGTGGTTTTTTCCAATTTTTGATAAAAATTCTCTGTATTTTTAATGATTTTAAGGGTTTCTAACCCTGCTTTCATGGCAAGAGGATTCCCACTGAGGGTTCCTGCCTGATACACTGCCCCATTGGGTGCCAAGTAATCCATAATTTCGGATCTTGCAGCAAAAGCTCCTACGGGAAGCCCGCCACCAATTACTTTTCCGAAAGTTACTATATCTGCTTGAACATTATAGAGTTCCTGTGCTCCTCCAAAAGCCAATCGGAAACCCGTCATTACTTCATCAAAAATAAGTAATGCTCCGTATTCGGTACAAATCTTTCGGAGATTTTGCAGAAAATCATTTTCTGGCAATACACAACCCATGTTTCCTGCTACAGGTTCTATAATCACCGCAGCGATTTCCTGTCCTTGTAGTCGGAAAATATCTTGAATTTGTTCCCAATCATTATACCTTGCCAGTAGTGTATCTTTTGCTGTTCCTTGTGTTACCCCTGGGGAATTAGGATTCCCAAAAGTGGCGGCACCGCTTCCTGCTTTGATCAAGAAACTGTCGGAATGACCGTGGTAACATCCTTCAAATTTGATGATTTTATCTCTCTTGGTGAATCCTCTTGCTAAGCGAATTGCACTCATACAAGCCTCTGTGCCAGAAGACACCATTCTTATTTGGTCTATATTGGGTACATTTTCTACTATCAATTTGGCAATTTCGTTTTCTAATTCGGTGGGTGTTCCGAAAGAGAATCCTTTTTCTGCTTGTGATTTCAGTGCGTCTAAAACTTCTGGGTGAGTATGCCCCAAAATAGCTGGTCCCCAAGAGTTGATATAATCTATATAAGTATTTTCATCGGCATCGGTTATGTAGGCTCCTTTAGCAGATTTCACAAAAATAGGTACTCCTCCTACGGATTTAAATGCTCTTACTGGGGAATTAACACCTCCAGGGATATATTTTTGTGCTACGGAAAATAATTCGGAACTTCTTTGGTAAATCATGTTAGATTTTTAATATTAGATTCTAGATTAGTTAAAAGAGAAAAGAAGAAAGAGGAAAGAGGAAAAAGAAAAAATTTTTGATTAATAACTAAAAGATATTCTAATTTCTAATTCACTAAATTATTTCCCGATATCTTCTCTATAGTGGGCATAATCAAATTGTATGGTTTTGGCATCTTGATATACTTGTTCTATGGCTTGATCTAAATCGGTAGAAGTGGCCACCAAATTTAATACTCTACCTCCTGTTGTAAATACTCCTCCAACTCTGTTAGAAGCTCCTGCAAGTAATACAGAACTGTTTTTTACTTGCTCAATATTTCTGATTTCGTATCCTGTTTCATAGTTACCTGGGTAACCTCCAGAGGTCATTACCAAACAAACGGCGTATTCTTTTTTAAATTTGAGTTTTATTTCTTTCTCATCTAAACATTCTAAAATGGTATCTAACAAATTGTTTTCTAATAGTGGTAAAATCACTTGGGTTTCTGGATCTCCTGAACGCATATTATACTCTAATAAATAACATCCTTTTTGTGTAACCATCAATCCAAAAAATATGAATCCTTTGAAATTGAGATACTTATCCTTTAACCCATCTATTGTAGGTTGCATGATGTGCATTTTGAAATCCAAAAAATGATTAATCATAAATTCTAGACTAGGTGCCACTGCTCCCATACCACCAGTATTTGCTCCCTTATCTCCATTGGCTACTCTTTTATAATCTTTTACTGCAATACAAGGGAAAAGGTCTTTTCCGTTGGAAAAACATATCATAGAGGCTTCAAATCCTTCTAAATATTCTTCTATAACGATTTGAATACCAGCATCGCCATAGATTTTATCAATCATAAAATCATGTATGGTTTTCAGTGCCTGATCTTCATCTTCTGCAATAACCACCCCCTTTCCTTGTGCTAGGCCAGATGCTTTGATAACCATTGGAAATGTTCCATTTTCAATATAATTTTTGGCTTCTACATAAGAGCTGAAAATTTCTGCTTTTGCAGTTTTTACACCATAATCTTGCATAAACTTTTTAGAATATGCCTTGCTTCCTTCCAAAAGAGCTACTTTTTGAGAAGGACCAAAAATTTTGAGTTCTGCTTTCTGAAATTCATCTACAATACCAGAAACCAAATATGCTTCTGGCCCTACAATGGTGAGGTCTATAGCGTTTTTCTTGGCAAAATCTAGTAATTCGTGATTTTCGGTGAGGGGTATATTTTTTCCGATTTGCTCCGTGGTTGCATTTCCTTTTGCAAAAAATAATTGTGAAACTCTACT